CTCTTTCTCTTTCCTCTTTCCTCTCCCCCTCTTTCCTCTCTCCCTCTTTCTCTTCCTCTCTATTTCTCTCTCCCTCTTTCTCTCTCCCTCCCTCCCTTTCTCTCCCTTCCTCTTTCTCTCCCTTCCTCTCTCTCTCCCTTTCTTTCTCTCTCCCCCTCTCTCCCTTTCTCTCTCTTCCTCTTTATTTCTTTCTCCATCTCTTTCCCTCTCTTTCTCTCCCTCTCTTCCTCCCTCCCTCTCTCTCTGATCGGGAATCGATTTGGAGGTGGGGAGGGGAGTGGCCGAGGGCTACCTGTGCGACCTTGAAGTGACCACCTTTGGAAGTACCAATGCTGCTCCAGCCAGGCTCGAGCCGGGCAGAGCAGACGATGGGAGAAGAGCGAGGCGATCACCTACCTGGCAGCCGGGACTCCGGCGCGCCTTCCCAGCCAGCGGGGCCTATGGTAGCGCCGGGATCGCGTGGCTCCCTGGGAAAGAAACTTCCTGCCACACTTCTCAGGGGGTGGGGCAGCAGAGCACAGAGTTAATCAGAAGCCCCGCAAGGGGGAAAGCCTGCATGAAGAGCCATGCCCTTTCTGTGGGGGAGGGACATGATGAGGGAGCCAAACAATCATGGGACGAAGATGCAGCCAGCCGCTGGAAATGCCATGCAGGAAAAACAGTTGACAGCAGCCTGCCGGGCGGCGTGCCTGACTCCGGCGCACCTTAGGACTGCCCGACGGCGCCTGGTTAGAGCAGGTGGCCGGTGCTCCATTGTGGCCGGCTCCGGCGGGGCGGGGATTCCCTGGCATCATGGGAAACGGCACGGCAATGTCAGCAATGGGCGGGGCATCCCGAGGCCGCCGGCACCTGGTTGAAGCAACTGGCTGGCGCTCTGTTGTAGCCGGCTCTGGCAGCGGCGGCAGGGATCCCCCACAGCTTGTGGCTTCTGCTGCGGTGCCCGGATCGGTTTCCCACAATGGAGCAGCGGCCGGGAAGGAGCTGCTCCTGCCCGGCTCACCGGGCTCCGGGTCTCAGAAGCGGCCAGGCGGCGGGGAAGAGGGCGAGGCAGCGGCGATGCCCACATGTGCGTCGGAGGCCAGCCAGCCGGCCCGGGAGGGGAGAAGCGGTGCCTTCCAAGCGGGAGCTGGCGCTCCGGCCGCACCCCTCTTGTGTGCGACAAATCGGGGAAGGGTTTGGCGGTGAAGGGGTGCGCGGTGTGGAAAGGGGCTCCCGCGACCCCACCGCTGCGATGGCGTTTAGGAGGCTGGAGGGGCGGGCAGGTCCCGGAGGGGCGGCTGGGAGAGGGCAAGAGGTGCCGGGATGAGGATGGAGGGCTCCAGGTTGGCAGGCGCGAGAGGACGGCCAGCAGCTCCGAGGCGCGCGGACCCTCTGCGCGGCTTCTGAGGCCCCGGAGGTGACGCCGCTTGGATCTCCACCAGGCTCTCCACCAGAGCCTGCCCCCCTCCCCGGGCATTCCGGCCCTGGACCTGCGCCGGTCAGCTGGAACGTCAGGCAAAGCTTTGGCTGGTGCGGAGGGCAGGCCGCCGCAGCGCCGAACTCCTGTGCTTTTAAGCTGGGAGGTCTGGCGACGGAGCCGGCTGGCGGAGGGCGATGGAGAGGCGGCGACTCAGCGGTCAGGGTCCTGCCTGCCCACCCGACCCATTTGTAAAAGAAAAAGTCTTCCGCCCAAGCATAACGCCAGCAGTTCTGTGACACGGGGGCTTGGGCCATGGAGGCACGGGACGCGGAGCGGCGCTGTGGGAGGCAGCAGGACAGGGGGGAGGGTTTACCTGCATCCTGCCAGCCGACCTCTGGAAGCCTGCCTGAAGGAAGAATTTTAGGGTGTGTGGAAAGGGAGACAGACTGAGGGCTGTATTAAGATCATAAATGGCTGCTTAAGGAGAGTGGAAGGGAGGCGAATTCAGGGTGGAGCAGAAAACACGGGGGGGGAGGCATTAGAAAATAAGCACAAGGTACCTGGTGCCTTGCAAGGGATTCCCGAGTGTTCCACAATTGTTTTTCCTCTCTCCTCTGCGCGAGAAACACTTTTGCCGCCTAAATCTGAAATGAATCCCTGGGGAGGGCTGGGCCTTGCTCTGCGCCTGCGCTCTTCACACGCCTCCTGCAGGGCACATTTGGTAAAGTTCGTGCATGCAGGCTGCCGCCAAGCACAGGGAGTAGCACAGCTAAGGAAAAGGGCAAAAAAAATGGCAGACTGCGTTTGGCGACCCCCGTGAAATGGTCGTGCGATCCCAAATGGGGTCGCGACCCACAGGTTGAGAACCGCTGCAATAAAATATATGGAAAAGGGGTTTTGATATGAATTGAATATGAAATACATGGTATTTTCTTGTTTCTGTTTCTTTTTGTTAATAAAGCAATAATAATCATTTATTAAACTTGTATGCTGCCCAACTCCCAACAACTCTGAGTGGCTCACATCAAACAAAGAAATTAAATAATATCAACAAAAGATGGCAAGTGACCAGATGGAAAGAAGCAAGGAGTCTCATTTGCCTTTGCCATGGGCCTGGGTGAAAATTAGAACATTAAAACATTTTAAAGAAAAGATTATGGGACTAATCTCATGTGTTAATCTTTCCTTTAGATATACTGTTGGATCGGTTCAGGAGAATAATGACCAAGTATGGAAATTCCAGCGCTACTTCTTGGTTCAAGAGTACTGCAGCCGTTTAGCAATACCATTTCCATTTGTCATCTTTGCCTATATCTACATGGTGATGAGGAAAATTTTTAAATGCTGTTGTAAAAATGAATATAGAGAATCATCCATTTGCTGTAAGTTATTTTCATCAGATACTAAATGGTAGAAGGGGAAACAAACTAAAGATTTATTTTATTAAAGAAAAAAAATCAAGATTCCTCAGATGATTGTTGCTATATTGGTATACTTTTATTATAAGGATACATTTGAAAACAATATACTTTTTTTTAAAAAAAAACCCTGTATATATGCATACACAGTACATACATGCATACATCTGCCTTTTCTTGTGAAAAAACTAGGTGTGACCTTGGCCAGAATTTCAATGAAGTGGCTTGAGGGGGAAGTGAAGTTTTAAAGCAAAGTGGGACTAGTTAGATTAGTGTTTCCATTAATTCCCTGTCTATGTTTATGTACATATATCCAGCACTTTTTAAACTGGATCTGTACATAACGTAATGGGTTTTATTTGCTCTTTCATAAAGCTACTATGTGAAAATCAGAGCTGACCCACTGTTCAGATATTCTCTTTGGTCTAAGGCACTGTGAGAATTCAGAGGTGTAGCTCAGTGGTGGGATTCAAATAATTTAACAACTGGTTCTCTGCATGGGGGGAGGGGGGCTGCTTGCCATGAGGCAGATGGGGAAGGAGGGAGCTGCCCCATGCACACCGCAATCATTTACCGTGCCGAAGAGCCCAAGGAGCCAGGCCAACCACGCCTGACACCCATCGCGCCTCGTCTATTCGGTAGTGATTTCTCCACTTTCTCCTTCTTCTTCCTCCTTTGAACAGCCCTTTGCTCCCATTGCTGCTTTTTCAGTCCCAGAGTTTTGTCTGGACTCTGGAGCATGTGCAGGTCTTTGGAAATGAAGCCCCACAGTGATTGGATGGGGTGGGAACCATTCCCTTCGCTTTTGGATCGGATTTATTTAGGATTTAGGATTTATTTCATTTATACCCCGCCCTTCTCCCGGAGGACTCAGGGCGGCTTACAGCCAGTTAAAACAATTACACAAAATACAAATCTAAGATAAATTAAAAATAAATATTCGAATCGGCCGCACTACTAAAATTTAATTAAAACCAATTTAAAATTACCCCTAGGCCAGTCCTGCCTGCT